CCTACAGATAAATCAAATTATACCTTTAAACCGAGCGAGCGAAGCGGATGAAGAGAATCCCAAGTAGTTATGGTAGGCTTCTCTCTCATAGGTAATTTTAATATTTACCCTTCACTAAGCGAGCGAAGATCATGTTCCCCAAATGTCCAAGTAGTAAAAGGCCGCAAAGTCATCAAATTGCCGGTGCAGGGATCATTCAGAGCAAGCGTACCGAACGAATTATCAGAATACTCTCCAAAATTTCCTAATTACCTGTATGAACAGTCTTAACACGTTCCAATCCTCTCACGTTTAAAACAGTTACAGAATCCTAAAAAAATAATAAATACAGTTAGAAATGGGTTCATTTTCATATAACATTCAATACTTTTCTTTTCAGTATTCACTTTGAAGGAAAGCATTCTGGTAAAAGGTAAAAGAAAAACTTCAAAATATGCATTTATACAGACGTTTATAGTAAATGCTCGATGACAAAAATCAGAAAGAACCAGATAATAAATATTTTTTTAAAATCATTTAGAACTGTCTAAAACTATTTAAAATATTCTAGAATCATTAAGAATTCCTCGGAATCATTTATTACGCTTCAGAATCATTTAAAACTATATATAGTAGATCATTTAGAACGTTCTAGAACCATTAGAACCCTCTACAATCATTTAGAACTATCTAAAACCATTTAGGATGCTCTAGAATCATGTACAAAGCTTTTGCTTAATGTAGAACGTTCTACAATCATTTAGAACGCCGCAGTTTTTTTGCAATTTTTCAGAATCATTTAGAATTTTGAAGGCAGAGTAGTCTTGAAAACAGAAGAAAACGGTCGAAATTCCAAAGAAACTCTTCAAATAGTCCAAATTAGCTTTATGGATAATCTTTTCCCGTTCTAATACTCTCTCGAAAGTCTTGAAACAGCTTCATAAACCTGAAAAATAGAACAAAAATTATTAAAAAAAGGTTCATTTTCATAGAAAATTTAATTCTTACCTTTTCAGTATTCATTTTGAATACATAATAGTCTTGAAAACAGAAGAAAACGGTCGAAATTCCAAAGAAACTCTTCAAATAGTCCAAATTAGCTTTATGGATAATCTTTTCCCGTTCTAATACTCTCTCGAAAGTCTTGAAACAGCTTCATAAACCTGAAAAATAGAACAAAAAATTATTAAAAAAAGGTTCATTTTTGTAGAAAATTTAATTCTTACCTTTTCAGTATTCATTTTGAAGGCAGAGTAGTCTTGAAAACAGAAGAAAACGGTCGAAATTCCAAAGAAACTCTTCAAATAGTCCAAATTAGCTTTATGGATAATCTTTTCCCGTTCTAATACTCTCTCGAAAGTCTTGAAACAGCTTCATAAACCTGAAAAATAGAACAAAAATTATTAAAAAAAGGTTCATTTTCATAGAAAATTTAATTCTTACCTTTTCAGTATTCATTTTGAATACATAATAGTCTTGAAAACAGAAGAAAACGGTCGAAATTCCAAAGAAACTCTTCAAATAGTCCAAATTAGCTTTATGGATAATCTTTTCCCGTTCTAATACTCTCTCGAAAGTCTTGAAACAGCTTCATAAACCTGAAAAATAGAACAAAAATTATTAAAAAAGGTTCATTTTCATAGAAAATTTAATTCTTACCTTTTCAGTATTCATTTTGAAGACATAATAGTCTTGAAAACAGAAGAAAACGGTCGAAATTTAAAGGAAACTCTCCAAATTATCCAAATTGACTGTATTGCTAGTCATATCGAGTTCAAATCCTCTTTCATATGGCTTGAAACAGCTGAATAATCCTGAAAAATAGAAAAAAAACATTAAAAATGAGTTCATTCTTGTAGAAAATTCAATTCTTACCTTTTTAGTATTCATTTTGAAGACATAATAGTCTTAAAAACGGAAGAAAACGGTCGAAATTTAAAGGAAACTCTCCAAATTATTCAAATTGACTGTATTGCTAGTCATATCGAGTTCAAATCCTCTTTCATATGGCTTGAAACAGCTGAATAATCCTGAAAAATAGAAAAAAAACATTAAAAATGAGTTCATTCTTGTAGAAAATTCAATTCTTACCTTTTTAGTATTCATTTTGAAGACATAATAGTCTTAAAAACGGAAGAAAACGGTCGAAATTTAAAGGAAACTCTCCAAATTATCCAAATTGACTGTATTGCTAGTCATATCGAGTTCAAATCCTCTTTCATATGGCTTGAAACAGCTGAATAATCCTGAAAAATAGAAAAAAAACATTAAAAATGAGTTCATTCTTGTAGAAAATTCAATTCTTACCTTTTTAGTATTCATTTTGAAGACATAATAGTCTTAAAAACGGAAGAAAACGGTCGAAATTTAAAGGAAACTCTCCAAATTATCCAAATTGACTGTATTGCTAGTCATATCGAGTTCGAATCCTCTCTCATAAGGCTTGAAACAGCTGAATAATCCTGAAAAATAGAAAAAAAAACATTAAAAATGAGTTCATTCTTGTAGAAAATTCAATTCTTACCTTTTTAGTATTCATTTTGAAGACATAATAGTCTTGAAAATGGAAGAAAACTGTCGAAATTTAAAGGAAACTCTCCAAATTATCCAAATTGACTGTATTGCTAGTCATATCGAGTTCGAATCCTCTCTCATAAGGCTTGAAACAGCTGAATAATCCTGAAAAATAGAAAAAAAAACATTAAAAATGAGTTCATTCTTGTAGAAAATTCAATTCTTACCTTTTTAGTATTCATTTTGAAGACATAATAGTCTTGAAAATGGAAGAAAACTGTCGAAATTTAAAGGAAACTCTCCAAATTATCCAAATTGACTGTATTGCTAGTCATATCGAGTTCGAATCCTCTCTCATAAGGCTTGAAACAGCTGAATAATCCTGAAAAATAGAAAAAAAAACATTAAAAATGAGTTCATTCTTGTAGAAAATTCAATTCTTACCTTTTTAGTATTCATTTTGAAGACATAATAGTCTTAAAAACGGAAGAAAACGGTCGAAATTTAAAGGAAACTCTCCAAATTATCCAAATTGACTGTTTTGTTAGTCATATTGAGTTCTAATCCTCTCTCATAAGGCTTGAAACAGCTTTATAATCCTGAAAAATAGAAAAAAAACATTAAAAATGAGTTCATTCTTGTAGAAAATTCAATTCTTACCTTTTTAGTATTCATTTTGAAGACATAATAGTCTTGAAAACGGATGAAAACGGTCGAAATTCAAAGGAAACTCTCCAAATTATCCAAATTGACTGTATTGCTAGTCATATCGAGTTCGAATCCTCTTTCATAAGGCTTGAAACAGCTGAATAATCCTGAAAAATAGAAAAAAAACATTAAAAATGAGTTCATTCTTGTAGAAAATTCAATTCTTACCTTTTTAGTATTCATTTTGAAGACATAATAGTCTTGAAAACGGATGAAAACGGTCGAAATTCAAAGGAAACTCTCCAAATTATCCAAATTGACTGTATTGCTAGTCATATCGAGTTCGAATCCTCTCTCATAAGGCTTGAAACAGCTGAATAATCCTGAAAAATAGAAAAAAAACATTAAAAATGAGTTCATTCTTGTAGAAAATTCAATTCTTACCTTTTTAGTATTCATTTTGAAGACATAATAGTCTTGAAAATGGAAGAAAACTGTCGAAATTTAAAGGAAACTCTCCAAATTATCCAAATTGACTGTATTGCTAGTCATATCGAGTTCGAATCCTCTCTCATAAGGCTTGAAACAGCTGAATAATCCTGAAAAATAGAAAAAAACATTAAAAATGAGTTCATTCTTGTAGAAAATTCAATTCTTACCTTTTTAGTATTCATTTTGAAGACATAATAGTCTTGAAAATGGAAGAAAACTGTCGAAATTCCAAGGAAACTCTCCAAATTATCCAAATTGACTGTATTGCTAGTCACATCGAGTTCAAATCCTCTCTCATAAGGCTTGAAACAGCTGAATAATCCTGAAAAATAGAATAAAAATCATTAAAAATAGGTTTATTCTTATAGAAAATTCAATTCTTACCTTTTTAGTATTCATTTTGAAGACATAATAGTCTTGAAAATGGAAGAAAACTGTCGAAATTCCAAGGAAACTCTCCAAATTATCCAAATTGACTGTATTGCTAGTCACATCGAGTTCAAATCCTCTCTCATAAGGCTTGAAACAGCTGAATAATCCTGAAAAATAGAATAAAAATCATTAAAAATAGGTTTATTCTTATAGAAAATTCAATTCTTACCTTTTTAGTATTCATTTTGAAGACATAATAGTCTTGAAAATGGAAGAAAACTGTCGAAATTCCAAGGAAACTCTCCAAATTATCCAAATTGACTGTATTGTTAGTCATATCGAGTTCGAATCCTCTCTCATAAGGCTTGAAACAGCTGAATAATCCTGAAAAATAGAAAAAAACCATTAAAAATGGGTTTATTCTTGTAGAAAATTCAATTCTTACCTTTTTAGTATTCATTTTGAAGACATAATAGTCTTAAAAACGGAAGAAAACTGTCGAAATTCCAAGGAAACTCTCCAAATTATCCAAATTGACTGTATTGCTAGTCATATCGAGTTCGAATCCTCTCTCATAAGGCTTGAAACAGCTGAATAATCCTGAAAAATAAAAAAAAAAACATTAAAAATGAGTTCATTCTTGTAGAAAATTCAATTCTTACCTTTTTAGTATTCATTTTGAAGACATAATAGTCTTGAAAATGGAAGAAAACTGTCGAAATTCCAAAGAAACTCTCCAAATTATCCAAATTGACTGTATTGCTAGTCACATCGAGTTCTAATGCTCACTCATAAGGCTTGAAACAGCATTATAATCCTGAAAAATAGAAAAAAAAACATTAAAAATGGATTTATTCTAATAGAAAATTCAATTCTTACCTTTTTAGTATTCATTTTGAAGACATAATAGTCTTGAAAATGGAAGAAAACTGTCGAAATTTAAAGGAAACTCTCCAAATTATCCAAATTGACTGTATTGATAGTCATATCGAGTTCTAATCCTCTCTCATAAGGCTTGAAACAGCTGAATAATCCTGAAAAATAGAAAAAAAACATTAAAAATGGGTTCATTTTTATAGAAAATTCAATTCTTACCTTTTTAGTATTCATTTTGAAGACATAATAGTCTTGAAAACTGAAGAAAACGGTCAAAATTCCAAGGAAACTCTCCAAATTATCCAAATTGACTGTATTGATAGTCATATCGAGTTCTAATCCTCTCTCATAAGGCTTGAAACAGCTGAATAATCCTGAAAAATAGAAAAAAAACATTAAAAATGGGTTCATTCTTATAGAAAATTCAATTCTTACCTTTTTAGTATTCATTTTGAAGACATAATAGTCTTGAAAACTGAAGAAAACGGTCAAAATTCCAAGGAAACTCTCCAAATTATCCAAATTGACTGTATTGATAGTCATATCGAGTTCTAATCCTCTCTCATAAGGCTTGAAACAGCTGAATAATCCTGAAAAATAGAAAAAAAAACATTAAAAATGAGTTCATTCTTGTAGAAAATTCAATTCTTACCTTTTTAGTATTCATTTTGAAGACATAATAGTCTTAAAAACGGAAGAAAACGGTCGAAATTTAAAGGAAACTCTCCAAATTATCCAAATTGACTGTATTGATAGTCATATCGAGTTCTAATCCTCTCTCATAAGGCTTGAAACAGCTTTATAATCCTGAAAAATAGAAAAAAAACATTAAAAATGAGTTCATTCTTGTAGAAAATTCAATTCTTACCTTTTTAGTATTCATTTTAAAGGTAAAAGCATTCTGATAAAAGGTAGAAAAGGGTAAATAATACAATGAAACTCTAAATTACTCAAATTTACCCTTTTTAATTTTACTGATAACAAAAAATCATTCATTACTAAGTTATTTTGCAACCAATTTTAATGATTTCTGTTTTAAATAAATGTATTAGAATGATATTTTGTCCTGTTAACATAATATTAGTAAGTACTTACGTTTTAAACACATTATTGTGGTACCCGAAGATACTCCGATCGAAGTAAAAGATGTTTCGAAGAATGGTAAAAATCGCAGAAAGTATCCAAAATATTGTTCTAATTATTGTTGGTGGTTTACTTTAAGTTTCTAGTAGTCATTTACTTCCTATTTTTCAGTGTCAATCCTGTAAAATAAGGTAAAATTATAAGTAATAAAAGTTCCTTTTTATTCTACGAGTAACAAAAAATCATTCGATACTTTGTTAAATATCAATAAATTTTTACGATTTCCGTATAAAACAATCTTAATCGAATGATATTTTGTGCTAATAGAACATTTTATCAAGTACTTACGATTTAAGCAGTTTATACTTTTGAATAAAAGTAACCCATGTAGTTCTTCGAACGAAGGACAAAATGTTAGGTTTCATTTCTCCGTTATTTCTTGACCGATTTTTAACATTTTTTCTTTAAAACGACGCTTACTTAGTCCTCTTTCGGCTTATCCATACTCTGGAAACTGTATTTACACCCAAAAAGTGGTATTCCTCCAAATGTAGCACCATTTATTGAGGTAGGATTTTCTACGTAGGCCATTCTTCGAATCCAAATATTGACTAATAATCGACGGAATTTACCACAATATGCTTACTGGGACCTTGTTTTCAACATCAGTTTGGTAATAATCGTGAAATATAGGCTGCAGGTCTTCTAAAAAGTAAAATAATTTGGTTAAAAAGCGGCTTTATGAAACTTAACCTACAATGTTTTAAATGGGTTATTTCTTGTACGGGACCATTTAAATATTGTAGATTGTTTGTAAAGGTATTAATATCGTCAAATAAGCTCACTTACCTTGAATTTATCGCTGAAAATCCATTAAAAATGCGAAATTAAACGGATCGAAGCGCAAGTATCTTTTCCGACGGTAGTTTCAAATGACACTGTTGACACTTGACAGTTTTGGCATTTTCCATTTCCAAATTTCTAGACGAATTTTAAACGGATTATTTAACTTAATCTTGTTTATTTCTACAGATTATTCAGCAAAAAAGGTTGCTGAAACGATTTTTTATTCATTTACTTACATTTACATAGGTATCGTAAGGTTTATGTAGACACTCACCCGAATGGTAAAAGGCCTATGAATCTTCTTCGTTAATTCTTGACCGATTTTTATCGTTTTTTTCTTTAAAATTACGTATATTTAGTCTTCTTTCGATATATCCGTACTCTGGAAATGGTTCTTACATCCAAAAAGTGGTATTCCTCTAAATGTAATACCATGTATCGAGGTAGGATTTTCTACGTAGACCATTCTTCTAATCCAAATATTGACTAATAATCGACGGAATTTACCACAACATGCTTACTGGGACCTTCTTTTCATCATCAGTTTGGTACTTATCGAGAAATATAGGCCATAAACCCTCTAAAAAAGTAAAATAATTTGGTTAAAAAGAGGCTTTATGAAACTTAACCTACAATGTTTTAAATGGGTTATTTCTTGTACGGGACCATTTAAATATTGTAGATTGTTTGTAAAGGTATTAATATCGTCAAATAAGCTCACTTACCTTGAATTTAACGCTGAAAATCCATTAAAAATGCGAAATTAGACGGATCGAAGCGCAAGCGACCCTTCCCGTCGGCAGTTTCAAATGACACTGTTGACATATTCAAATTTCTCGACGAAAATTTTTTAGCTGGTTATTTATTTTCGTTTATTTTTACAAATTATTCAATAAAACCCTTGTAGAAACGATTTTTTATTCATTTTCTTACATATAATTGTGTAATTTAGAAATTTCTCGGAGATCGGTTCGCCGAGTGCAAGTTCGGCAAAATTCGGATCCACGCGAAAGTACGAAAAATGACACAAAATTACGTACACTTCAAAAATTTTCAACATGGCCGACAATTTTCATTTTCAAATCGCGATTGTGAGCGAAAACGAATTTAGTCGGGGAAAAGACGGTCATTTTCGTAATCAGCGGGTCCGGTTTCATCTTCCTACACCCCTCTCCGTCCCCGAATAATTCAAAAAGAATAAAACTCTCCAATCAATAGGATGTCGCCTGGGGTTTTAGTATATATAAGACTCGCTGAAAGCTCGGAAAGGGGGCTTCGCCCCCTTTCAACCCCCCCGCGGCACAAAGCCAAGGCCTACCGGCCTTGTCTTTCGTACCGCGGTTTTGGTCACTGACCCGAAAAGTAAGAGGCTTATGAAATCTGATGAAAAAACTGCCCACGTTCCTAAAATAATTAAAATATAATCATATGTAGTAAGGTTTTTTCCTACAGATAAATCAAATTATACCTTTAAACCGAGCGAGCGAAGCGGATGAAGATGATCCCAAGTAGTTATGGTAGGCTTCTCTCTCATAGGTAATTTTAATATTTACCCTTCACTAAGCGAGTGAAGATCATGTTCCCCAAATGTCTAAGTAGTAAAAGGCCACAAAGTCATCAAATTGCCGGTGCAGAATACTCTCCAAAATTTCCTAATTAACTGTATGAATAGTATTAACACGTTCCAATCCTCTCACGTTTAAAACAGTTACAGAATCCTAAAAAAATAATAAATACAATTAGAAATGGGTTCATTTTCATATAACATTCAATACTTTTCTTTTCAGTATTCACTTTGAAGGAAAGCATTTTCGTAAAAGGTAAAAGAAAACTTCGAAATATGCATTTATACAGACGTTTATAGTAAATGCTCGATGACAAAAATCAGAAAGAACCAGATAATAAATATTTTTTTAAATCATTTAGAACTGTCTAGAACTATTTAAAACATTCTAGAAACATTATGAATTCCTCGGAATCATTTACAACGCTTCAGAATCATTTAAAACTGTATAGATCATTTAGAACGTTCTAGAACCATTAGAACCCTCTACAATCATTTAGAACTATCTAAAACCATTTAGGATGCTCTAGAATCATGTACAAAGCTTTTGCATAATGTAGAACGTTCTACAATCATTTAGAACGCTGCAGAATCTTCTACAATGTTTCAGAATCATTTAGAATTGTTTAGAATTATTTAGAAAACTTCAGAATCTTTTAGACCTGTTTAAACTAATATAGAATGTTTTAGAATCAATTAGAATGCTCCAGTATCATTTACAATATTTCAGAATCATTTAGAACTGTTCAGAATTATTTAAAACACTTCAGAATCTTTTAGAACTATTTAAACCCATATAGAATGTATTAAAATAAATTAGAATGCTCCAGTATCATTTACAATATTTTGGAATCCTTTTGAACTGTTTAAACCTATATAGAACGTCTTAGAATTATTTAAAATGTTTCAGAATCATTCAGAACAGTCTAGAATAATTTAGAACGTTCTACAATCATTTAGAATGCTCCAAAATGATTTACAACGCTTTAGAGTCATTTAGAACTGCCCAGAATCGTTCAGAACGGATCCAGTTCGTCATATACTGTCGTAAAAAAACCGCAAGGACATTGATCTGCTGGTAAAGGAATCAATTAGAGCGAAAAATCCTGCTATCCAGGTGTCTTGACTAAGTTGTAGAAGACCGTAGAGATTACAGAAGCTTGAAACGGCTTCAGAATCCTGAAAAATAGAAAAAGAATCATTAAAAATGGGTTTATTCTAATAGAAAATTCAATTCTTACCTTTTTAGTAATCATTTTGAAGACATAATAGTCTTGAAAACAGAAGAAAACGGTCGAAATTCCAAGGAAACTCTCCAAATTATCCAAATTGACTGTATTGATAGTCATATCGAGTTCGAATCCTCTCTCATAAGGCTTGAAACAGTTGAATAATCCTGAAAAATAAAAAATAAAACATTAAAAATGGGTTCATTCTTATAGAAAATTCAATTCTTACCTTTTTAGTATTCATTTTGAAGACATAATAGTCTTGAAAACGGATGAAAACGGTCGAAATTCAAAGGAAATTCTCCAAATTATCCAAATTGACTGTATTGCTAGTCATATCGAGTTCTAATCCTCTCTCATAAGGCTTGAAACAACATTATAATCCTGAAAAATAGAAAAAAAAATCATTAAAAATGGGTTCATTCCCATAGAAAATTCAATTCTTACCTTTTTAGTATTCATTTTGAAGACATAATAGTCTTGCAAACGGATGAAAACGGTCGAAATTCAAAGGAAACTCTCCAAATTATCCAAATTGACTGTATTGTTAGTCATATCGAGTTCTAATCCTCTCTCATAAGGCTTGAAACAGCTTTATAATCCTGAAAAATAGAAAAAAAATCATTAAAAATGGGTTCATTCCCATAGAAAATTCAATTCTTACCTTTTTAGTATTCATTTTGAAGACATAATAGTCTTGCAAACGGATGAAAACGGTCGAAATTCAAAGGAAACTCTCCAAATTATCCAAATTGACTGCATTGCTAGTCATATCGAGTTCTAATCCTCTCTCATAAGGCTTGAAACAGCATTATAATCCTGAAAAATAGAAAAAAAATCATTAAAAATGGATTCATTCTTATAGAAAATTCATTTCTTACCTTTTCAGTATTCATTTTGAAGACATAATAGTCTTGAAAACGGAAGAAAACGGTCAAAATTCCAAGGAAACTCTCCAAATTATCCAAATTGACTGTATTGCTAGTCATATCGAGTTCTAATCCTCTCTCATAAGGCTTGAAACAGCTTTATAATCCTGAAAAATAGAAAAAAAAATCATTAAAAATGGGTTCATTCCCATAGAAAATTCAATTCTTACCTTTTTAGTATTCATTTTGAAGACATAATAGTCTTGAAAACGGATGAAAACGGTCGAAATTCAAAGGAAACTCTCCAAATTATCCAAATTGACTGTATTGCTAGTCATATCGAGTTCTAATCCTCTCTCATAAGGCTTGAAACAGCTTTATAATCCTGAAAAATAGAAAAAAAAATCATTAAAAATGGGTTCATTCCCATAGAAAATTCAATTCTTACCTTTTTAGTATTCATTTTGAAGACATAATAGTCTTGCAAACGGATGAAAACGGTCGAAATTCAAAGGAAACTCTCCAAATTAGCCAAATTGACTGTATTGCTAGTCATATCGAGTTCTAATCCTCTCTCATAAGGCTTGAAACAGCTTTATAATCCTGAAAAATAGAAAAAAAAATCATTAAAAATGGGTTCATTCCCATAGAAAATTCAATTCTTACCTTTTTAGTATTCATTTTGAAGACATAATAGTCTTGCAAACGGATGAAAACGGTCGAAATTCAAAGGAAACTCTCCAAATTAGCCAAATTGACTGTATTGCTAGTCATATCGAGTTCTAATCCTCTCTCATAAGGCTTGAAACAGCTTTATAATCCTGAAAAATAGAAAAAAAAATCATTAAAAATGGGTTCATTCCCATAGAAAATTCAATTCTTACCTTTTTAGTATTCATTTTGAAGACATAATAGTCTTGCAAACGGATGAAAACGGTCGAAATTCAAAGGAAACTCTCCAAATTATCCAAATTGACTGTATTGCTAGTCATATCGAGTTCTAATCCTCTCTCATAAGGCTTGAAACAGCTTTATAATCCTGAAAAATAGAAAAAAAAATCATTAAAAATGGGTTCATTCCCATAGAAAATTCAATTCTTACCTTTTTAGTATTCATTTTGAAGACATAATAGTCTTGCAAACGGATGAAAACGGTCGAAATTCAAAGGAAACTCTCCAAATTATCCAAATTGACTGTATTGCTAGTCATATCGAGTTCTAATCCTCTCTCATAAGGCTTGAAACAGCTTTATAATCCTGAAAAATAGAAAAAAAAATCATTAAAAATGGGTTCATTCCCATAGAAAATTCAATTCTTACCTTTTTAGTATTCATTTTGAAGACATAATAGTCTTGAAAACGGATGAAAACGGTCGAAATTCAAAGGAAACTCTCCAAATTATCCAAATTGACTGTATTGCTAGTCATATCGAGTTCTAATCCTCTCTCATAAGGCTTGAAACAGCATTATAATCCTGAAAAATAGAAAAAAAATCATTAAAAATGGATTCATTCTTATAGAAAATTCAATTCTTACCTTTTCAGTATTCATTTTGAAGACATAATAGTCTTGAAAACGGAAGAAAACGGTCAAAATTCAAAGGAAACTCTCCAAATTATCCAAATTGACTGTATTGCTAGTCATATCGAGTTCTAATCCTCTCTCATAAGGCTTGAAACAGCATTATAATCCTGAAAAATAGAAAAAAAATCATTAATAATGGGTTCATTCTAATAGAAAATTCAATTCTTACCTTTTTAGTAATCATTTTGAAGACATAATAGTCTTGAAAACAGAAGAAAACGGTCGAAATTCCAAGGAAACTCTCCAAATTATCCAAATTGACTGTATTGATAGTCATATCGAGTTCGAATCCTCTCTCATAAGGCTTGAAACAGCATTATAATCCTGAAAAATAGAAAAAAAATCATTAATAATGGGTTCATTCTAATAGAAAATTCAATTCTTACCTTTTTAGTAATCATTTTGAAGACATAATAGTCTTGAAAACAGAAGAAAACGGTCGAAATTCCAAGGAAACTCTCCAAATTATCCAAATTGACTGTATTGATAGTCATATCGAGTTCGAATCCTCTCTCATAAGGCTTGAAACAGCATTATAATCCTGAAAAATAAAAAATAAAACATTAAAAATGGGTTCATTCTTATAGAAAATTCAATTCTTACCTTTTTAGTATTCATTTTGAAGACATAATAGTCTTGAAAACGGATGAAAACGGTCGAAATTCAAAGGAAACTCTCCAAATTATCCAAATTGACTGTATTGATAGTCATATCGAGTTCGAATCCTCTCTCATAAGGCTTGAAACAGCTGAATAATCCTGAAAAATAAAAAATAAAACATTAAAAATGGGTTCATTCTTATAGAAAATTCAATTCTTACCTTTTTAGTATTCATTTTGAAGACATAATAGTCTTGAAAACGGATGAAAACGGTCGAAATTCAAAGGAAATTCTCTAAATTATCCAAATTGACTGTATTGCTAGTCATATCGAGTTCTAATCCTCTCTCATAAGGCTTGAAACAACATTATAATCCTGAAAAATAGAAAAAAAAATCATTAAAAATGGGTTCATTCCCATAGAAAATTCAATTCTTACCTTTTTAGTATTCATTTTGAAGACATAACAGTCTTGCAAACGGATGAAAACGGTCGAAATTCAAAGGAAACTCTCCAAATTATCCAAATTGACTGTATTGTTAGTCATATCGAGTTCTAATCCTCTCTCATAAGGCTTGAAACAGCATTATAATCCTGAAAAATAGAAAAAAAATCATTAAAAATGGATTCATTCTTATAGAAAATTCAATTCTTACCTTTTCAGTATTCATTTTGAAGACATAATAGTCTTGAAAACGGAAGAAAACGGTCAAAATTCCAAGGAAACTCTCCAAATTATCCAAATTGACTGTACTGTTAGTCACATCGAGTTCTAATCCTCTCTCATAAGGCTTGAAACAGCATTATAATCCTGAAAAATAGAAAAAAAATCATTAATAATGGGTTCATTCTAATAGAAAATTCAATTCTTACCTTTTTAGTAATCATTTTGAAGACATAATAGTCTTGAAAACAGAAGAAAACGGTCGAAATTCCAAGGAAACTCTCCAAATTATCCAAATTGACTGTATTGATAGTCATATCGAGTTCGAATCCTCTCTCATAAGGCTTGAAACAGCATTATAATCCTGAAAAATAAAAAATAAAACATTAAAAATGGGTTCATTCTTATAGAAAATTCAATTCTTACCTTTTTAGTATTCATTTTGAAAACATAATAGTCTTGAAAAGGAAGAAAACTGTCGAAATTCCAAGGAAACTCTTCAAATTATCCAAATTGACTGTATTGCTAGTCATATCGAGTTCTAATGCTCACTCATAAGGCTTGAAACAGCATTATAATCCTGAAAAATAGAAAAAAAAACATTAAAAATGGGTTTATTCTTATAGAAAATTCAATTCTTACCTTTTTAGTATTTATTTTGAAGACATAATAGTCTTGAAAATGGAAGAAAACTGTCGAAATTACAAGGAAACTTTCCAAATTATCCAAATTGACTGTATTGATAGTCACATCGAGTTCTAATGCTCACTCATAAGGCTTGAAACAGCATTATAATCCTGAAAAATAGAATAAAAACATTAAAAATGGGTTTATTCTTATAGAAAATTCAATTCTTACCTTTTTAGTATTTATTTTGAAGACATAATAGTCTTGAAAATGGAAGAAAACTGTCGAAATTACAAGGAAACTTTCCAAATTATCCAAATTGACTGTATTGATAGTCACATCGAGTTCTAATGCTCACTCATAAGGCTTGAAACAGCATTATAATCCTGAAAAATAGAAAAAAAACATTAAAAATGGGTTTATTCTTATAGAAAATTCAATTCTTACCTTTTTAGTATTTATTTTGAAGACATAATAGTCTTGAAAATGGAAGAAAACTGTCGAAATTACAAGGAAACTTTCCAAATTATCCAAATTGACTGTATTGATAGTCACATCGAGTTCTAATGCTCACTCATAAGGCTTGAAACAGCATTATAATCCTGAAAAATAGAAAAAAAAAACATTAAAAATGGGTTTATTCTTATAGAAAATTCAATTCTTACCTTTTTAGTATTTATTTTGAAGACATAATAGTCTTGAAAATGGAAGAAAACTGTCGAAATTACAAGGAAACTTTCCAAATTATCCAAATTGACTGTATTGATAGTCACATCGAGTTCTAATGCTCACTCATAAGGCTTGAAACAGCATTATAATCCTGAAAAATAGAAAAAAAAACATTAAAAATGGGTTTATTCTTATAGAAAATTCAATTCTTACCTTTTTAGTATTTATTTTGAAGACATAATAGTCTTGAAAATGGAAGAAAACTGTCGAAATTACAAGGAAACTTTCCAAATTATCCAAATTGACTGTATTGATAGTCACATCGAGTTCTAATGCTCACTCATAAGGCTTGAAACAGCATTATAATCCTGAAAAATAGAAAAAAAACATTAAAAATGGGTTTATTCTTATAGAAAATTCAATTCTTACCTTTTCAGTATTCATTTTAAGGACAGAGTAGTCTTGAAAACAGAACAAAACGGTCAAAATAGCTTCATAATCCTGAAAAAATAGAAAAAGAATCAATAAAAATTGGTTCATTCTCATAGAAAATTCAATTCTTACATTTTTAGTATTCATTTTAAAGGTAAAAGCATTCTGATAAAAGGTAGAAAACGGTAAATAATACAATGAAACTCTAAATTACTCAAATTTACCCTTTTTAATTTTACTGATAACAAAAAATCATTCGTTACCAAGTTATTTTTCAACCAATTTTAATTATTTCTGTTTCAAATAATTGTTTTCGAATGATATTTTGTCCTGTTAACATAATATTAGTAAGTACTTACGTTTTAAACTCATTATTGTGGTACCCGAAGATACTCCGATCGAAGTAAAAGATGTTTCGAAGAATGGTAAAAATCGCAGAAAGTATCCAAAATATTGTTCTAATTGTTGTTGGTGGTTTACTTTAAGTTTCTAGTAGTCATTTACTTCCTATTTTTCACTGTCAATCCTGCAAAATAAGGTGAAATTATAAGTATTAAAAGTTCCTTTTTATTCTACGGGTAACAAAAAATCATTCGATACTTTGTTAAATATCAATAAATTTTTACGATTATCCTATAAAACAATCTTAATCGAATGATATTTTGTCTTAATAAAGCATTTTATCAAGTACTTACGATTTAAGCAGCTTATACTTTTAAAAAAAAGTAACCCAAGTAGTTCTTCGAACGGAGGTAAAATGTTTGGTTCATTCATCTTCGTTATTTCTGGACCGATTTTAATCATTTTCTCTTTAAAACGACGCTTACTTAGTCCTCTTTCGGCTTTTCCATACTCTGGAAACTGTATTTACACCCAAAAAGTGGTATTCCTCTAAATGTAACACCATGTATTGAGGTAGGATTTTCTACGTAGACAATTCTTCGTATATAAATTTTGACTAATAATCGACGGAATTTACCACAATATGCTTACTGGGAATTTCTTTTCAACATCAGTTTGGTAATAATCGTGAAATATAGGCTGCAGGTCTTCTAAAAAGTAAAATAATTTGGTTAAAAAGCGGCTTTATGAAACTTAACCTACAATGTATTAAATGGGTTATTTCTTGTAGGGGACCATTTAAATTATCGTAGATTGTTTGTAAAGGTATTATATCGTCAAATAAGCTCACTTACCTTGAATTTAACGCTGAAAATCCATTAAAAATGAGAAAATTAGACGGATCGAAGCGCAAGTATCTTTTCCGACGGTAGTTTCAAATGACACTGTTGACACTTGACAGTTTTGGCATTTTCCATTTCCAAATTTCTAGACGAATTTTAAACGGATTATTTAACTTAATCTTGTTTATTTTTACAGATTATGCAACAAAAAAGATTGCTGAAACGATTTTTTATTCATTTACTTACATTTACGTAGGTATCGTAAGGTTTATGTAGACACTCACCCGAATGGTAAAAGGCCTCTGAATCTTCTTCGTTAATTCTTTACCGATTTTTATCGTTTTTTTCTTTAAAATGACGACTATTTAGTCTTCTTTCGACATATCCATACTCTGGAAATAATTCTTACACCCAAAAAGTGGTATTCCTCCAAATGTAACACCATGTATTGAGGTAGGATTTTCTACGTAGACAATTCTTCGTATACAAATTTTGACTAATAATCGACGGAATTTACCACAATATGCTTACTGGGAATTTCTTTTCAACATCAGTTTGGTAATAATCGTGAAATATAGGCTGCAGGTCTTCTAAAAAGTAAAATAATTTGGTTAAAAAGCGGCTTTATGAAACTTAACCTACAATGTATTAAATGGGTTATTTCTTGTAGGGGACCATTTAAATATCGTAGAAGATTGTTTGTAGAGTTATTAAATTGTCAAATAAGCTTACTTACCTTGAATTTAACGTTGATAATCCATTAAAAAGGCGAAATTAGGCGGATCGAAGCGCAAGCGACCCGTCCCGTCGGCAGTTTCAAATGACACTGTTGACATTTCCGAATTTCTCGACGAAAATTTTTTAGCTGGTTATTTATTCTCGTTTATTTTTACAAATTATTCAATAAAACGCTCGTAGAAACGATTTTTTATTCATTTACTTACATTTACTCAAGTAATTTGAAAATTTCTCGAAGATCGGTTCGCCGAGTGCAGGTTCGGCAAAATTCGGATCCACGCGAAAGAACGAAAAATGACACAAAATTACGTACACTTCAAAAAATTTCAACATGGCCGACAATTTTCATTTTCAAATCGCGATTGTGAGCGAAAACGAATTTAGTCGGGGAAAAGACGGTCATTTTCGTAATCAGCGGATCCGTTTTCATCTTCCTACACCCCTCTCCGTCCCCGAATAATTCAAAAAGAATAAAACTCTCCAATCAATAGGATGTCGCCTGGGGTTTTAGTATATATAAGACTCGCTGTCGCTCGTAAAGGGGGCTCCGCCCCCTTTAAAAATTTTTTTTTTTTTTCAAAAAAAAAAAAAAAATAACGCCGCCCATGGCGAAACACCCGCCGCTGGCCCGAACGGACGAAATCCACCCGAGTAAGTACCCGAGCGACGGAAAAGCGACCACGATCCCCGCTCCTTCCGCGGCCGACCGGGAATTCCTTTCTACCGTACTCCGGTGCATCGACAAAGTTTTTTTGCTATAACTCCGAAACGGGTTAAGATATCGTTATCGGGTTTGTTTTGTTAGTTGCACGAAACTTGAATTAATAATTTTGAAAGAATACATTTTTTTCGAAAACCCGATAGTTTCCGAGTAAACGGAGTGTAATTAAAAAAAATTTTAATTTCGGCAAATTTTCATTTCCCTATAACTTGGTGAAATATATTTTTGAAGAAACGCGATTTGCGTGGAAAAATGGCAAAAAAATCAAAGAATATACGGTGAAAGTTTGAAAAAAATCTGTAATGTAGTTTCGGAGATATAGGTCGAAAATGCCAAAAAAGTCGTAATTTTAACAAAAAATCCGGTTTTTCACCCGGAGGGAAACTTTTCCGGGTTTCGAAAAGTCGATATTTCGATAGATCTCGTCGAGTTACGTAGGATAGAATTTTTTTCCGATTTTTTCGCCCGCAAATAAAGCCGTAAAAAAAAAAACACGCCAATCAGTCAGTGAATGTCGGTTTCGGTTGTATAGTTGTAGAGACTCGCTGAAAGCTCGGAAAGGGGGCTTCGCCCCCTTTCAACCCCCCCGCGGCACAAAGCCAAGGCCTACCGGCCTTGTCTTTCGTACCGCGGTTTTGGACACTGACCCCGTTGATCCAAATAGTAATAGTCGAGCGAACGAATCGAGACTATTAGTAAATTAATTTACTTAAAATCACGGTCCTATATTTCTAAGATCTGACATCTCTCTATGCTTATGCATTAGAGAATGTGTCCCGTTATTTGAGGATTTTTTAATCTTAAGTGTCGAACGATCGGAAGACCAACTTATCTCAGCCAATCAGCGTCGCTTTACATATAAATCGCAGTTGTAAAACGACAGTTCAAGCTGTCAAATCTTCAAAAATTATTTTTTGATATTTCGAGGAGAAAATGGAAAAATATATTAACCGAAGATACGTGAGGCATAATGTTTACAACAAAATCATCAAAAATAAATATATTTTTATATTTTGTATTTATTTTTTGTTTGAATAAAATCTATCTTAATGAAAATTCTACATAATTCGAACACAAAAAACCGGGGTCCTTTACAACATCGCCTCACAGCAGCCGTTATAGGAACTCTGTTTTATCCTCAAATAACGGTACACTTTTTCGACCCATGATTCCAGACCTTAGAAATATAGGACCGTGCTTTAATTTAACTTAAAATTAACTTACGTTTAAATTTAGAAGACCAGAAGACGTTGGAGCTGTCGAGCGAGCGAAACGAGTGAGGATCTGCTTATCCAAATGTCTAAGGTGTAAAAGGCCGTAGTAGAGTTTTAAGAATTCCTAAAAAATAAAAAAATGTCGTTATAGTAAAGTTCTCTATCGTAGATAAATGAATGTTTACCTTTCACCAAGCGAGCGAGGATCCTCTTCTCCAGTTCATTTCAAAATTTGTAGTTCATTTCCACACCACCTTGAAATATTAACTTTACAACGATTTTCATTTGTTATAAAATTAATATTTTTATGAGGTAGAACTTTGGCGCGTTGTGTTTATTTTATACATGTCTCTCGCCTGTAGCCCTACGACATGTAAATTGGACAATATTATTGTACCAATTGTATATTTTTATAAAAGTTACAAACGGTCAGAATTACAATCTGTTTTTGGAAACTTAACTTTTATGACTAAATTTTTGTTAACCAGGTAATATAGAATTATTAATGCAAAGGTTAAATACGCATACAGTTTATGTTTGCGACTTTGCTAATTGCTATATGAGATAGGTATAACGTTTTTATTAGTCATTTTTAAGTATTGTAACCTTACAGAAGTTTAACTGAACCATTATGAACTGAATATTATAAAAATATCAAATTTAGATAAGAATCTAAATAAATCTAAAAAATAGATATTGAAATACTCAAATTGAACAATGTTAAAATCCGTAAGAATCTAAACATGTGTGACTTTATTAACCTGCAATGGTAATGTAGGTAAGCTTAACGCTTTTTAGGTCACATTTAGACATGTATGTCATCAAACAGAAATTTATTTTGAACAATTTAAGCAAATTTTAAAACAATTTCAAAATGAGAAATGAAATATTTAAAAAATTGAAAAAAAAAATCATCTAATAAGGTCTTTAAAAACAATATTAGATGCGTGTGCTTTATTTTCAATAATATCGTCAGATGATATCAACACACGTATATCATCTGGTGATCTGACTCTACTGAGTGCAACGTAAAGTTGACCATGTGTAAAACATGGTGATCTTAAATCCACTCCTACAATGTCCAAAGTTTGACCTTGTGATTTATGAATAGACATTCCATAGGCCAATTGTAATGGAAATTGTCGTCTATTCATTGTAAAATCACATTTTTTGTCAATTTCTAATTTAAAATTTATTCTAGGAATAGCATATTGTTCATTGTTTGGGTCATTTGGACGCCTAACAGTAACAATTCTATTACTAATCGAAACTACTACAACTTTTGTCCCGTTCACTAAGCGATCTTCAAAATTGAGATTTCTCGTGATGAGACAAAGTGCACCAACTTTTAATTTTAATAAATGATTTGGTACACCAGATTTTGTAGCTTGATGCATTACTTCATCCGTTATTGTGCCGGCCAATGAATTTTGTTCTTCATCTAAATAGTCGGCACTAAATAAAGTTACAGCATCGCCCGATAATCTATCCAACACAATGTTGTTAATTTCATTAACGTTAAGATTTAACGTTGATAAAATTGCGCGTGTTGCACAAGCATTAGAATTTTGTAAAAGATCAATAGGAAATACAAAATCTAATAAATCATTTAAAATTGTTACGTACTTGACTTCTTCTAATAATGGTATTAAACAATTACTAGTGCTTGTACGTACGATTGGAATTTTACCATCACCGACATCTAACAAAAATTTAGAAAACTGTTGATTATTCGTTACACGATGCGGTGTGGTAAGTTGAAATATTTTTATGTGGCTCCAAATGTGTGAAAATTTCATCGAAACTGCCACAACTTCCGAAGAAGAAAGGGCGTTCTTTACAATTGGAGCTACCTGTCGAAAATCGCCAGAAAATATTATTATTTTACCACCAAAGGGTAAATGACATCTCATTAAATCCTTTAACGATCTATCAATTAATTCGAATATGTATTTACTAGTCATAGGAGCTTCGTCGTAAATAATTATTTTAGCATTTTTAATCAATTCGGCTCTTTGACTATGAGTAGATACATACCAATATTCGGTTGAATCTTTCAAAATTGAAAGAGGCAACTTGAACATTGAATGGGCTGTTGTTCCACCTGGAAGGTTAAGTGCCGCAATCCCAGAAGAGGCAACACATAAAACAACATCATTATTTGACCTAACTTGAGCTGCGATAACTTCAAGTAATTTACTTTTCCCATAACCGCCTGGAGCATCAATAAAAATTGCTCTACGATGGTCAAGTAAAATACGATTTGAATCGTCAGGAGATAGAAGTGATTCAACGTAATCGAAAATAATTCGTTGATCTTTCGACAACAATGGTAACCATTGTTGAACGAACGATTTTAAACTATCTGCATTGTAATCAAGTAACTCCCTAAGTAATTCGGAAGTACAATCATTGATTACATCTTTAAAACCTTGCTTGCGTATTGAAGTACCGTGCCTTCTCAACGCTCTATCGAGTTGTCTTAGACCTTCTCGATACGCTTTAATTTTATTATCTGGATATTTGTCGATTAAATCTAAACAAATAATGTCTTTAAGATCATTCCAGATTAATACACCTTTTGCACCAATGGTAATTAAAAGTGCAAAAAATGATCTCAAACGATAACCGAACATGAATTGAGCTGCCTCACGAATTGCTTCTCTATATTCGGTGTCGTCGTCAACTAAACCAAGATGCCGAGCGGCTTGTTGGAATGTTTCACAATCGTTTCCGCCCAATTTGATTAAATCGTCGTAACTTGAGGCGGGAAACTTGGTTAACAATACGCGCAAAAAATATTGTTCACCTTTGTTAGGACAAACCCAATATATCCTTGCGACAGCTTTACCCCTTTGTCTAGGAGTAAAATAATGTTTGCCATCTGCAAATGGGTAAATTTCGCCGGTTTTTCTAGACGGACGTTTACCGTGAACTATATACTTTTCGTAAAATTCAACGTACGTCATGTCTTTTAAATTGTCCAATAAATTAATTGGACGAGCGAAATATAATAATAATTTAGACGTAGAGGAATCGATAGCATCTGATTCCTCACCTGGTCTGAAACAAACAGAATGGTAACCCTGTAAATGAACAGGTAACATTATTACAACTGGGTCCATTCCGGTTGTATCGAATTCTAAAATTCGCCAAGCGGCATCCGTTGCACCGATATACCTTTTTGTGACGTATTCTTCAACTTCGTCAACATCATTCGGTTGTACGGATACTCTACGTAATTGTTCACCTTTCGTGATATATTTGAATAAATAATGAACGACCGTACGAGCCGAACATTTATCCAAATTCACGTGACAATTGTATTTTAATAATAACGCAGCGTTATAAGGGACAACCCATGTATCGTCAATTTCTACATCGTCATCCCCGAATCTAACGCGAGCTTTATTATTACCGTTACGTTTATAATTGTAGAAACCTTTTTTATCAACAAACGTATTATCGGTACAAGCTTTAGGAAAATGTTTATTACATTTCCTTAGCTCTACATCGTAACACGGTGGATGTTTATTATAACGCGGTCTCGAACAAAATGGACCGTGTATCATGTGTTTTAACACTAATTTTCGCAATTCTCCATCGGCTTCATCCGTTGTAGGAATGTCGGCTCTGATGAAGTGGTCCACTTCAATGGTTTGAATTGGACCATTTTTAACTTTGAAAATAATATGCGCATGAGGTAAACCGCGCATTTGAAATTCGATAACGTAAATAATATAAATTAATTTACCGAACCATCGACCGCATTTTAAATCTCTCAACAATTCGTCGAGATATAATTTAAAAACGCGATTTACGACCTGAGGTTCACCCATTCTACAAGAATTATGGGTGGACGCTTTGATTTCCGGCCATTGGCCGTTAGCCGTAAATGTTAGAAAATAATCAGGAGGTCCTAATCGTTCTACGACTGCCATAGCATTCATATACTTGATTTTCATGTACCTAGGACCACCTGTAAAAGTATATGGTAAATAAATTCTACCAGCTACGTGCCCTTCGCCTTCGATTGTTTCATCTTCTTGCAAATGGGCACGTATTTGTGCATTTACTTGATTTCTCAAGTTCGCATCACTTACTTCTGCCAATGTTGCCGTCCGCATTGCAGTTGCAGATGGCGCTTTTTTTTGGCATCTTGTAATAAAATTTAATCTGTCTTCTTCTATTTTACAATAGACATCGACGAGCCATGTTTCAGACAATTTGTTCAAAGCAGAAAATCTTTCACAAGATAACAAAAGACATCTAACGTACTTAAGCTGTGATAATTTTCTGCCTGATTTGTCTGTCATGTTAAAGTGCCAACCTAATTCGCCTCTGGGATACAGTAAAGGATACTGAAAAGGCTCCATCATAGGATTAAACACACTAATATTTCTTTTACTTTCTCCAATTTTCCAAATGCATATTTGCCTTGGATTTTGGATATAATCGTCTGTACTGATAACAGCCGCAACCTCGGTAGATTGGGGTTGTTCACCCAATACGGGTCCAGCTCGACTTCTCGTTGTGTATTCAAACACTAAATGAGCCTTATCGCTAGGCTCAAGAGCGAGACGTTTAAATTCTTTAATATACGGGTTTACCCGTTCCAAATAACGAGTTATTTGATCGATAATATCTTGTTTCAAATAACTGTATTTGGTAGCTTCTAATCGTCTAGAATCCCCATCATCGATGTACATGAAGCTATGATTTGGACAGTGATTGTCCTTCATATTCAAATCATGTACTTTGTGATAGGTTCGGCCTTGAATTTTTACAAAACTCAGGCCTTTCGGATGTGTCCATGTTGTTCCCATGGCACACAACGCGAATAAATCATTATAATGACGTGGATGATTTAAAAATAATGGATTTTTATAAAAGTTTGCATCCAATGGTTCTAAGTTTTGTACGTTACTTAGACCATTGTTGCAACACCATTTTAATCTTCCACGTTCCTCCTCAAATAATGGTGCTTCACAATGCTGACATTTGAAGGAATCATTCAAAAGAGAAGGATGTTTTAATGCAAATCTTTTAATTTTGGCAAATTGTTCACTATTGTGATATTTGCCAATTAATAAATCATCACGTCGACGTAAACATCCAGTTAAATGTTTGCCAACGTGAGATCCTCTATAACGTTTAGAGGCTTCTTTATTAATTTCATTGCGAAATTCAGGGTGTGTTTCCCTATAATGTAACACAGCTTTTGTGTGTACATTAGAATTGGATTCCCTGTATTTTTTAACCGCTTTTCGATGAACTTCCGGATGCTTCAATTGGTAAATTTTAGAATTTACCAAAAGAGTAGCAGCTTTCTTTTCTCGATATTTTTGATCGTATATTTTACGACGTTCTCCAATTGGAATATTGGAGGATTTACGTCCACGTATACGCTTATCACGTTCCTCCTCTTTTTGAGAAGTGATAGAGTTATTTTTTGTACTTGATGTACAACTAACAGGAACAGATGTAACTTCGTCTAAGACTACTGAAACATCTGTATCCTCCGCTTGTTGTTCTACATTATTCTCAACATTCTTTGGCGCTATTAGAATATTGGAATGTATCACAATTTTTGGATTCTTCCGTATTGGCGAAGCTACCGAAGGAGAATCAACGGGAGCAGGAAGTATGGCGCTAGGTATAATTATTTTCCTACCCCGTTTAACTTTTTTAGGACGGCCAGATTTTTTAGCCGTCGTTGAAAACGCAGAATTAGAAGGCATGCAATCACTTACAGTTTCTTCAACGTCATCTGCATTTTGAAGTTCCTCACTTACGTGTGATGAAGCTGCTCTATGCTCCAGTCTGAAGTCCAATCTATGTATATTGAATGGTCTTCTTTGACCGTCGCATGCCGAGTTGACCAATAGAAGATTCGCCAAACACTCGATTTTCTTGCAGCTGAAGAGGCGTGCCTTGTTATTTTGTTCGCAATGCATGTCATAGATTCCCTCTTCATTGACAGCATGCGAATCGAACAAGTAGAATGAATCTTCTGCCTCTTTCCAAAAACTGACAGTTCTGTTTTGACCTATGAATAAAAAAAATTGTTCAAAAGTTGTATTTTTATAAAAAATTGTCGAGATCGACATTATCTATCAATTTTTCTAAGGACTCTCAAAATAAGTTATAAACAAATAAATTTAAAGTAATTTTAATTACTATTACTATATTTATGAACCTATATTTATTTACCTGTTAACAAGTATCCACAGGTCGAACTGTCAATTTCGAAACATCCCCGAAGAATTCCTGCTAGGACCATTTTCTTTGCTGGAACGTCTTCACGGGAAACAGGAAAACTGTCTTCATTTACAACTACCCTTTCGGTAATTGTAACGATTTTGCCACGAATATTTAATTCCTGTGGCAATTCTTCGGGTTCCAGGAATGGAGGGAATTCCTAAAATAAAAATTAAAAATTACAAAAATTGTTTACATTTAATTCTTTATTTTTACATAACTTTAATTCTAAATCTTTAATTTTAATTGAAATTATTCAATTATTTAAGTACTACATATTTTGCCATGTTATTTTAGCGAGAATACACTACAAATGTAATAGTATTGTTTGCCTTTAATATATTAAATATGACGTAAAAGTACTAATTAAATATACGTGTAAAAAAACAAATTTTTTAATACATACCGGTTCACATCGTTCATACAGACGATTTCCGATCATTAAAATTTCATCGATTGTATGAACGGAAAATGGAATCCGAAGAAAACGGAATGCCAATGCTGTTGTAGAATTTGCAACACATTGGACATTTGCCGTTTTTGGGAAGATTCTTCTATCCCCTTGATGGAACGTTCCGCAAGCAAAATTCTCGAAGGAGACGTCCATTCTTGAAATCTAAAATGAAAAAAAAAATGGTTTTTAAAATTCTTAATGACAATGTATATAAAAATTAAAAAATAGTTAGTAAATTGTAGTAAAATTGTTAGTAAAATTTTGATAAAAAAATCCAAAAAGTTGTCAAAAAATCCCAGATGATTACAAAAAACTAATACTTAAAAAATCACAAAATAACATGTAAATCTAGCTAGCACTCCCACCTCGACTAAATCAAAAAAAAGTAGCCTATAATTAAGAGCTAATTAAAGACTAATTTCAACCACAAAAATTAAAAATTGTACCACCGCGATATAACGAGAAAAACGGCATTGAAAATGAAGGGTGCTAGCTTCAGTTCAAGGCAGCACCCCCAAAATGGATCAAAATATAAGGGAGGCTAATTTGTTCCACAAAGAGTTTTTCTATATTATTATTAATAACATCAAAAAATTAAATAGAATGAAATTAAAATTAAATAAAATTAATATAAATAAAATAAAATAAATTTAATTAATTAAAATTAAAATTAAATAGAAAAAAACCGATGAAAAAAGACCTACAAAAAGTGTGAAAAAATCACACTGAAATACAAAAAAAAATACTACCTAAATAGTATTAAAAAGCTAGGAAAAACCTGAGGAAAAAGTGACAAAAAAGTCCCACTCTAATACATTGAATTACCACCTAAACACTCAAAAAAAGCCGACAAAAACCAAAGAAAAAAGACCTAAAAAAAGTGTGAAACTAAAATACAAAAAAAATACTACCTAAATAGTATTAAAAAGCCAGGAAAAATCGGAGGAAAAAGTGACAAAAAAATCCCACTCTAATACATTCAATTACCACCTAAACACTCAAAAAAAGGCCCACAAAAACCGACGAAAAAAGAGCTAAAAAAAGTGTCAAAAAAATCACACTGAAATACAAAAAAATACTACCTAAATAGTATTAAAAAGCCAGGAAAAATCGGAGGAAAAAGTGACAAAAAAATCCCACTCTAATACATTCAATTACCACCTAAACACTCAAAAAAAAAGCCCACAAAAACCGAAGAAAAAAGAGCTAAAAAAATGCCAAAAAATCCTACTTGATTACAAAAAATTACTACCTAAACACTCAAACAAAAAAGACAATATAAACCAAAAAAAAAAAGTCCAAAAAAAGTGCCAAAAAATCCAACTGAAATACAAAAACCTACTACCTAAAGAATCTAAAAAAACGACAATAAAAACCAAAGAAAAAAGAGCTAAAAAATGCCAAAAAATCCTACTTGATTACAAAAAATTACTACCTAAACACTCAAACAAAAAAGACAATATAAACCAAAAAAAAAAAGTCCAAAAAAAGTGCCAAAAAATCCAACTGAAATACAAAAAACCTACTACCTAAAGAATCTAAAAAAACGACAATAAAAACCAAAGAAAAAAGAGCTAAAAAATGCCAAAACATCCTACTTGATTATAAAAAATTACTACCTAAACATTCAAAAAAAAACGACAATATAAACTAAAGAAAAAAGTCCAAAAAAAGTGCCAAAAAATCCAACTGAAATACAAAAACCTACTACCTAAAGAATCTAAAAAAACGACAATAAAAACCAAAGAAAAAAGAGCTAAAAAATGCCAAAAAATCCTACTTGATTATAAAAAATTACTACCTAAACATTCAAAAAAAAAAACGACAATATAAACCAAAGAAAAAAGTCCAAAAAAAGTGCCAAAAAATCCAACTGAAATACAAAAACCTACTACCTAAAGAATCTAAAAAAACGACAATAAAAATCAAAGAAAAAAGAGCTAAAAAATGCCAAAAACTATGTGAATCAAGCTAGCACCCCCACCTCGACTAAATTGAAAAAAAATTAGCCTATAATTAAGAGCTAATTAAAGGCTAATTTGTACCACAAAAATTAAAATTTGTACCACAGCGATATATCGAGAAAAACGGCATTGAAAATGGGGGGTGCTAGCTTGAGTTCAAGGCAGCACCCCCACTTTGTCCGAATTTAAAATCAAATGGATCAAAATATAGGGGATATTAAAGGCTAATTTGTACCACAAAAAGTTTTTCTATATTTTCATTATTAACGTCAAAAAATTAAATAGAAAGCTATGATTGTCGCTGCTCCATAATCTTAGCACCCCCACTTTCGTCAAATCAAAAAGTGAATATACAACATTATGCAACTAATTAAAGGCAAATTTGTACCACATAAGAAATTTTTATAATTTTTAATGTAAATCCGCAAATTAAGTTTAAAACGATTCCTTGAAGAGCCATATGTGTGACGTATGAATGT